CAGCACAGGCAAGCAGCTGACACAGATTTTATTCCAGGCAAGGGAGTTTTGTCAGTTGCTGGATGTGATGGTCAGTAAGTCATAAGGAGGCATTTGAATCCTGCTGTTCCTTGCGTGGCCAAACATGCTTCCTCAGAAACCTTGGAACAAAACGATGCAGATACACATGCACAGTGCTGGGAGTCCGGTGATAAAATACAGTTGGCTGTAACAATCTACTCAGTGCATGGAGGATGCATGTGCAAGTAGCTGGTGCAAAGGAAGTCCAGAGCCCAAAACCAATCGCAGTGTGTTCAAAACACACATACGCCATGGATTTTGAGGCAGGCCTGAGCCAAAACTGGCCAGATCAAAGGCTTTTGCAACACCAAAGTGTCATGTCTCCGATGTGTGTGCACTCGCCAGATGCAAGTGCGATGCACGTTCGTTCCCAACTCGGACTTGCCTGCAGGCCTGAGTGAAGTCTGGGGCTGTGTGCCTCACAGTAAGGGCAAGGGTGAGGGTGAGGGTGGTGTGCTCTGTGCTGGGCTATGTGCCTTGGGCTTCGCTGGTTAGTCATGGGAGGCTGTCTGGCAGGCGAACATTGCGATTCTGGAGGCCCTGGACCCCAAGCGGAGGACGATGGCCCTCAGCTGCCAGGTGCACATGCTGATGGTGGCGTTCGACGATTTCGCTAAGCTCTATCAGGCCACCACGACTGTAAAGAAGGGGACGACCAGGCAGGTCGACCTCTTCAATCTCAAGGCCACCATCCGTGGTAGAGACAGGAGATTCAACAGGTGCGCAAGCGTTGCCTTCCTTTGGACTTCACACTACCAGATCACATTGATCACATCAATGTTATGTCAGATCGTATCAGAAACCACGTGCAGAGATCAAGACCCACCCGCCCATTCCCAACCCCATTCCCTCCTTCCCCGCAGAAAACATAATACAGTGGCAGTACCAGTCTAGCGCCCTCTCAATCGTGCCTGGGCCCCCATAACACACCGTTTTGTGTTTTTGTACAGCTTCCTAGGTACATTATGCAGCTTTGCTGTGCGGTGGGAACTCAAATCAGTATGCTAGGCACTCAACTGTTGCCCAACAGAGGTGTGCGGTCGACCTGCAACGTTTATATGCCATGCACACAGTTGAGAAACCTGTCTAAGCGTTGATTGAGGTGTTTGGGGTCATGATCAGGTCACTGTGCTCCAGTGCTGCGCGATTATGACCAAGGGCACACAAGCACAATGGCCCAATTCGGCTTCTAAGCAGCCGTCACCATGGCCAACAGGCCTCCCACTGTATAGCAAGAGATGGGATGTCTCACACGATGGGCCACATGATGATGAAGTGCATATTGGTGACTTTATTTTTGAGCACCCTGTTTTGGCCACGTCTGTTCGGGGGCTGGGGTTAGGGCGTACAGGTACCGCTACTGTAAGGGAAGACACTATGTCGATTTTGGTACGCTTAGCGTCAAATTGACGCTTGGGGGGGGGGGAAGGGGGAGGGGGGGGTCCAGACCTGTGACACTAAGAGATGATGTAATTGACACAAAATCGACAACAGGAAGGAAGGTGGCCCAAAACGCCACTGATAAACGGCAAACAACCCCTGATATGTTCTTAAGCCGATTGCAAGTGCTCGATTTTCAAAGAAGGCCTTAGAATGGATCAATTTGCAGCCATTGAGGCTGCCCATCTCACCTATAATGGCATTTAGAATCCCATTTTTCAGCCCACTGAAATCAGCACAACTTTCATTGTTTTTCTCTTTAGAAACACCTGGAAGTTCAATACCACTGTTAGGTAATGTAGCTGAGTCATCCTGGCTTCGACATAAGGATTGACGATCAGGAGATGGTGGGTGGTGGGGGATGGGGTTTTTTGATCTTAACGTCAAATTGACGCTAAGCGTACCAAAGTCGACATAGCGTCTTCCCTAAGAATGGAATCGTGATTTCACTTCACTTGATCCCCACAAGCTCTTATTGTTGCTGAACAGGTTGTGTTAAATGTGAACACCACTAAGTGCAACATCTTGGCCCTGTGCTGCTGCATCTGCAGTAGGTCCGCATCCCTTCTTTAGTGAAACAAGAACTGTCCCCTTGACCCATGGTTGCAAAAAAGGAAGGAGAGAGGCACCCCATTATGGTGTAGCAATAACTGCATGCTGCGCACCACCTAGATACTGCGGGTGTGGGTGGTGATGATTGTCTCTATCATATTGAACAGAGGTTCTCAACCGTAAATAGCACTGTATCTCTGTCCCATGTCAATAAATCTTCAGGCAAGCCCCAACCAGGAACATCACGACCCAAATTGGTCGGCATTGTCCACCTGAATCCGAAGGAGAAGGTGAAGGGTGTGTGCGGTCAAATGGCACAACCCACTCCTTGCCAATGACGTGCCTGTTCTTGGTCAGAATCAATCAGTAGCTTGCGTTTGGCGGTTGCAATTATCCAGTCGGTTGTATTCAATGTTTGCGTAGATTGTGTTTGGCTCATAATGGTTGTGCCATTTTAAGGCGGTTGCTGTGCCACTGGTGTCTTTGAATGCCAACGGCTAGGCTACCTCATCCCAACACAGCCATGTGCAGCTGCATGATGGAAACACCCCGCTTTTGCCCACAGCCCTGTCACTTGCATCCATGAGGGGCATTCTCCCCTTGGCGGTGGTTGCTCAAAGCTGGTGGCGCTAACGCTTGGCTGTTGTTGCGAAGGGGGATGAGGTTGAAGAACACGACTGAAAAATGCGATTCGTGATGCCACGCCATTTGTTGAACGCTGCAAAGCTTGGTGGTGTCGCCAAAGAACACGGGAGTGTAGATATGAACGCCTGTTGTCCTGTCCTCCTGGTTTCCAGTACGTGACCAGCGGTGGAGAACATATGGAGGGGCTTCGCTGTTTGGAGATCCCGAAGAAGACTCGCCCTGTATCATGTTCACTCATATGGCTTCTGCGAGCGGCGCCATGCAAAACGTGGTAATACCCTGGACCTCTGCGCGGCTTCACCTTGTTGGAGGCCTCGCGACAACCACACAAGTGTGGCTTCTGAATTGGAACAGCCCTGGGGATTCTGGGAGATTGCTTCCAAAGACATGTGTCATTCGCTGAAGTTCAGATTTGTCCCAGGCTCGCAAGGCCACGAAAGGCAATGTGGACTCATTATTCCGTGCCATAACCCGTGAAAAACCCGGGCTTCAGGAGAGCCCACTTGCTCGCAAGGCAGAGTGGGGTGGGTGGGTGAGTGGGCAGGTGGGATGCGAGATTGGGGACCGTCACTACATCGGCTGTGTCACATCGACGGATTGCCTCCCACGCCCGGACAAGCCGAACCCCTCAGCATAATTTCCCGGCCCCAGATGGATCGGGGATGTTGCCGCTGTTTCGTAATTGCTTGACAGGCAGCCAATCCTTGTCTTGTGCGCGCTCGATTGAGTCAATTTGTCATGGAGGTGACACAACTCTGCCCAATTTTACCATATCGCTGCTCGCAGGTAGTCGCTATCATTGCAACAATTCGAACAGTAGGATTCAAGGCATGCATGCGCAAATGACGTTCTGACCCAGGTGAAGGCCAGTATTTCGGCCTCGTTACCTGGCTGGCTCTTTTCCTGTTCTAATCCGCTTCGCCCTCCGACCTTCAAGTTTGTTCGCCGGCTGGTCCTGTCAGCCTCTTTGACACCAGCCAGGCCGCGCTGCGTTGCTCTGTGGTGCGCATGTGGAAAAGATTTGAAGGTGCGGGCTGCCATCCATCCTTCGCATTAACGTCCAGACGAACGACCGCACCCCAGCCACACACATTCTGTATCAAGCAAACTCACGAGCTTTCCCACTTGTGGCCCACTGGGCGCCTGTTGCGCTGCTGCAACCCGAGTTTGCTCGAACAGCTGGGGTTCAAGTCTCCGTCCATCCATCATTGAGATTATATTGTCATATAGAAATGTGTAATGCACAGCAATCTTCGGATGTAATTCCTTCCTGGGTAAGTTTTCCGAAGGGACCATTATGTCATAATATCATTATAACGTTGTGGGGCACATGTTGCTGGGCAAGGACGGTGGAGCACAGAATGATTGCACGCTAGAAAAGTCACAACCCGTCATGCGAGAACACCCTGCACCATCAGGGCTAGTGTCGCCTCTCAGGGTCCACCAGCAGGCACACTGCGTCCTGGTAGATGTTCTGCGGTACATTCGTAGTTTACAATGGACAAATCCACTCCTTTCACTCAAGCAGTGGTGCTCAACAGCAGATGCCACTGCCATTGTTGAAGGTCACAGTCGCAACAACATTCCTCCACTTGCACAACCGCAGTTGCTTGACAGGTGCAAGGAGAGTGATTACCATGTTTCTACCAATCACTGAAGATTCCCTGCAAGACCAGACATACATCGACATCCAAGAATCTGACAGGTACAAAATCGGCATGCCAGTCGGTGGCTGTCGATATGCCTCAATTGTGAATCTCGTAGCCATTTCCAAACTTGGACAAGGACGACACAGCATCGATTCCAACGCATTCTTCACTGCATGCCCTCACCCAGATAACTAATCGCAGTCAGGCCCAACGTTGGCTCTGCAGCTGATCTCCTCTTGAACAAAGAAGGCGTAGGCGAGAGGTACCCAGCGATTTTCAGAGGGCTTTCAGCTCGATGCAGCCATTTGTGCACAGCATCTTCAACCAGTGATGCAGGTATCCATTCCTATTCTCATGTTGCATCTGAGCACCCACTTGGGTCTCATTCTTCCAGGCCCGTGCTGAGCTGTGGGGAGCGATGCAGTGTCGTGTACTGCAGCTGTGTGTGGATGGCAGACAGCAGCTGTGGCATATCAGCAAAGTTCAGGCCTGCATGGCACTTGCTGACCAACAGTCCACGGACGATCCACCCTCAGCCAGATGTTGGCCAATCTCCAGCATGCACTTCTGCAGCCAAGCAGCGACCACCGCAACAAGAAAGCAGCCTGTAGGCGATGGTCATGGCACACGATTGTTTTGGTGTGCGACTGCCACCTAGAGCTCCTCTCCTGTCTCACTCCGTCTGATGATCAGGTCAGGTTCAGAGTAGAACTTGATGCGCCAGCGCACGACGCCCAGAACCTGGCAGGCCAACCACAGCTGGCAGCACTCAGAGCTCTTCAGTTGTGTGAATTGTTGTTGCTGCAAACCAGATTGTATGTAGGTTTGACACTGAACATCTGCCATATCCTGCTGCCAAATGTCCAGTACGTCCGCAGCCTAGAATCTCAATGGCAGCAGCATGGTGCACCTGGAACCCAGGGAATGGATGGACAGGATGTTCGGCAGAAGCCATAAACAAACTGGGAGACCACGTTCTCAGAGGCAAACAGCATTTTCAATCGGTTTGTAGGTGCAAGGCACATCTTTGCGTGTGGCAACAACTGTGCCAACAACTGTTGTCAAAGCCAATGCCACCATCATTGAAAATCGCATTGTCAGATGTTGGAAAGCTGCAGACAGGGAAGCAAGTAAGCCAGCAGTGTTGGTTTCATGGAAGGGGAGCATAGGTAAGCCTGCATGACATTTTTGTGTGCTAAGGTGCAGCACACTTTCGTCACTCTTGCTGGCGCCCCTCTATTTTACTTGGAAGGAGGACCACTCTGACAGGGCAATATACTGCCAGAAGAATGTACTCAGCACAGCTCAAATGCGTGACTTGCGCTTGAGCATTTGAAGACAAAATGTTCCAATTGTGAATCATTTGCCATGTGGTTGCTTTAACACTGTTGCTCGGAACTTTTGCTCTTTCAAAATCGAATGGGAATCGTTCATCGCAGGAAATGGTGGTGGGGGCGCACTAACCAGGTAAAGACGTTGTTTCCCTAAAGAAGGAAGCAAGCCGATGTTATCCATGGCATGTGCAGTGTGCCCCGCTACTGAGCAACGCACAAGTCCCCAGGTGGAAACTGCAGTTGATGGTAAAGTATCAGGCATCCATCAAACCTTGTAGCTGGTGGCACCCTCCTTCACCACGTGTTCTGTGTTCTTTTGCATCACAACAAATGGCCGCTTCAGCTTCTCCTTCTTGCCAGACAGCTTGTACATGCCCGCTATGCGCAGGTCGACCAACATCGGATCCTGCAAGCACAAGTGGGGAAGTCCAGTTGGTAGCCCACTGAGCCATTCAACAGAGCATCTCCATGAGCTCAGATGCTGAGGCAGCATCTGTGGGTTGGAAACACTGCACCAACATGATTGGGATTCCAGTATTTGCAGTGATCACATTTTGGACAAACCTGCAAGCCGGCTTGGGCACACTATCACCTTGCAGGTGCTAGGACTCTGTTTTGGATACCCTTTGACCATCGTATTCGAACACTTGATGCACGCTGAACCAAGCAACAGCATGCATTGAATTCATCCTTGCGTACTGGGTGGACCTCACTCATGGAGTGCAGAGCCATCTGGCCATCAGGCCCCACTGCAAATGCAACAGTCGCTGTGAAGCGGTGACCGGCGCGTAGCAATCAACAACCGTCCTGCAGATGCCACAGAGTGGAATTCCACATGATCGGCTCTCTCAGGCAATTCCCGTCACCTGACGCCCGAGTAGTCCCCAGTTTTTGGGACGGACCGCTTGTGGGATAAGATGTACACCACATGGCTGTTGCCTTGGTGCGAAGTGAGCGACGACCCAAACAAGGCATCCCAGGGTTGGTGATCATTCAGCCAATCACGGCAGGAATAAACTTCAGGCCGAGGCACCAGAAACGGGCTGAGAGATCTGAGACACGGCAAGCGACACTATGGAAGCCGAAAACTTCAGCAACACCCTGGCTGGGCGAGCGCCGACCGCGTCGAGAGACAATAAGTCGGCCGTTGTCGCCGTTGCCGCCCGTTGGCGTGGCATTCCCGCCATTGCTCCAAACAGGGACCAGATCGATCACCGGCGTGGCCACCAGCCCAGCCACCACTTTTGCGCATCTCACCCGCAAGCGCTGGAGGAAATCCAGGCGAGTGCGCACCTCCGGTGACTGTGTCAGGTCGCCGATCAGGCTACCGTCGACAGGTTGGTCGTCCCTGCGAATGACTTTGCCCTGCAGGTCCAGCATCGCCCACGCCTCCTCCCGCCCCCCGGTCCCTTCGATCCTGACGATCATGGCCGGCGAAGCGAAGAGCAGATAGCCGCCCCAGCAGCGCCAGGAGTCGCACAACCACTCGGCGCGCGCCTTCCCGCCCTGCTGCCCCCCGCCGCATCCAACCAGAATCAAGAACCCCGCCCCGTTTTTCTCCGCTGTTTTTCTTTTATTTATTCTTTTTGGAGCTGTCAGTCAACCAACGAATGCTAATTGAAGAATCGATCGGTTATTCACCATTATCGCGAAGCAATCCCACATATCAAGGCATCAACTGCCCATTTCGCCGGAGTAAGCATCACCAATCATCATCATTATTTTTTACAGAACAAGGCAATGGGGCATCACCAATCAGTCAACCAGCGGTTCGCCTTTGCACCCGATGCATTCAAAGCACCTACCACCATCGTTCCCCTTCACACAGCAAGGCAAGGAGGTAGCCATCAGCTTCCAATTTCGCCCAAGCAAAGCAGTGTCCGTGATCGGTTCACCGAAATCTAAAAACGCAAACAAATCACCAATGAGCCAGCATTCGGACTGTGGAATTGATGCATTCTCTTCCATTAGCCCCTGCAATTCCACATCTCCAGGGCGCTCATCTCCGCCCGGAAGCCGTCGTCAGCTGCCTAACGTGCTCTGCCCCTGAGGCCCGGTGCCCGTTTCCGCGCGCCGCCCGCAGCCCCTCGCCGTCCCCCGCCCGGTCGCCAGGCGCCAGCCCGGCCAGGATGTCGAAGCAGGCCCTCAATCTGGAGGCGATGGAGCGCCGGGCGCGGCCCATATACGACGCCCTGGACGCCCGGAACTGGAAGGTGTGCAGGGGGCAGCGCATTCTGGGACCTTTCCCCAGCCCGTAGTCTCGGATAATTGCGTGGAAACGTTTGCTGGCGCGGATAAGGGCGGGAGGCCTGGGGGCATGACGCGGGGAGGCCTTGCGTGGATGGGCGGTCAGGGTAGATGCGGCGTGTGCTGGGATCGATGATCGGTACGCCCGGGATCTGGTTTTGGCTCTGCGGGGATCGATTTTCACTCTGGGCGTGAGTTTTTGATTGCGTGCTGAGCAAACTGGGCGGTGCGTTCCCCGTCCCTTTGAAGGCGTCTGGGCAATGCGCTGTCGACCTTGTGACATGTGCGCTCAGGAGGAGATGTGGCTATTGGCTGATATGTTTCTCGCTGACGCCACAATGACCTGGAACTTGTGGCGGATGAAGAAATGAGCGGATTCTGTGCACAGGCCGCTCTGAAGCTGGCGAACGCCGCTCTCAATAAGCACAAGGACAGTCATCTCATCAAGGCGCTCAAGGCTGTGGCGTTGGAGAGGGCTGGCAAGCTGGACGAGGCTTTCAAGGTGGCTAGGGCGCCTTGGCGGGGGTGGCTTTGTTGAGTTGTTGGGCCGTTTGCCCGTGTACAGCTCCAAAGGGAACTGAGAAACCAATGAGTAGATTTGTCGAAAATTGACAGCGAACTGGGTGTTCATGTGCGTGGCGATGAAGGGCGATTTGTGCCTCACCCAAACACCAGGGGCCTGGTGAGCGAATGGCCATCAAAAGGACAGTTATCACAATCTTGGCAGCCTGCTTCCAGTCAGATTTGATTGCAGTAGTAAGCTCAGTAACTAAAGGCAGAATTGCAATCCATTCACCTCGGCTTTGTGTTGCGCCTTTGAATGTTGGATCTTCACTGGCTAGGTATCGTGGGGCGATCTGAAGCGTTGCTGACCCACCCATCGACTGGCACAAGTATAGGCGCAAGGACAGTGGTTCCCCATACATTAAGATGCGCTGCGAAACCCTGTGCAAATGCACTTTCTTGTTAATACACAACAGAGTGTATCCGGAACAGCAATGTGAAATATGGCACACCGGTCAGGCCACATATCCTCAGCAGCAGTTGTTATGGCATCCAACAAAGACGGGACAAACTGGAAGGATCACCACATTTCCATTTTGAGGCAAGCAAGGTGGATACACTTATGCATGTCATTGCCTTGATAATGCAAGGGCAGCATTTGTTACTTCTGAACAAATGCAGTATTGATTAGCACAAGTACGTTCCATGTGTGTTGCAGACATGTGAGGAAGTACGCCTGGCTGTGCCAGTGGATGACCATGTCCTGCAGACACTCTGCATGGTGTACCGTTCTGTGGAGAAGTTAGGATGCCTCACTGAAGCCTATGAGGCAGCTTGCCAGAAACAGCCCAAGGACTATGACCTGCTGGTGGGGCTTTTTGGCTGCTATGTCAGGTCAGGTCAAAGACAGGTTGGCCAGGGAAATGGCAGAGTTCTGGTTGGCAGTTGTGCCCAAGTGCATGGTCACCTCCAACAGTGTGGTGTAGATTGTTGGAAATTTGCATCATGGAAAATTGAAGGCAACCTCAGCTAGCAAATAGATCACTTTCTGTTCTCAGCAGCATCAACAAATAGAACAACCCCGCTTCACCAGGTGAGAGCTGTGTCTTGTGAACGTTGCTGTGGATGTCCATCTGCAAATGGTTGTTGTGATCATTGAAGGCAGAATGACGCCTACAAGTGTATGAGACCAGCAACTCTGACATTGAGCCATTGCTGTGCAGTTGCGCTTGGCAGTTGTACAGTAGACAGATGGCCTGTGAGCTGGAGCCCTTCCCTTGTGTCAGCCAACCTGTCAAGATTCCAAATCGCACATTTTGGCAATGAGGTTGCAATTTCTGTTTTCATCTTACACGTTGCTTCTTGTTTATCTTTGAGACATTGCCCTCTAGTCAATGCATATAGGTGCTGTTACCTGATGCTTCACTGCAACTACAGATATAAAGTGCCATACCACATGTCGATGTTGTCACTAGCACATCAGTGGCGAATTGCACGATGTTTGATCCATTCTTTTTGTAGTGTCTGCCACAATCACTCTGTGATGGAGCAAAGATGAGAACAGTTCCCTTTTGCCACTGTGAAAAAGGGTGGAGAAGTATTTGGACTTTCTTGGGTATCAAGGCAATCGAGGCTGACTTCCATCGCTGGGTGTGTTGCAAACGGACCTGATCTGCCCTGGCCTGATCTGACCCGACCCTCTGTGCATCATCTTCACAGTGCAAGGGCAGCATTGTGTCCTTTTGTAACGTTTGTAGCCAAAAGGAATGGCGATGTGATCCAACATGATGTGCTGTTTGCGTTCAGCAGGGAAGACAACTTCCCAAAGCAACAGCTGGTCGCTATGCAGATCCACAAACTAGGGGCCTACCCTGTTCGCTACTTTTGGTGGGCCGTGATCAGTCTTGTGCTCCAGGCCTGGGGTGAACTGTCAGGAGTGCCATCACCCCTGGGCTGTGTCACTTCCCTCAAGCTGGCCAAGTCAATGGTGTCCAAACACCTCAAGATGAGTGGTGCCTACGACGGGTTCGAGTCGCTCTTGCTGTACTTGGACATTTTGTATTGCCAGGTGCGCTGAAGACTGCGCGTTCGTGGACTTTGTGCTGCAGCCCTTGTTTGCTTGGCACCCTGACAGTGCTTGAGCAATTCTGCCAGGACTGTGGCAATGTCACAGAATGTGCGCCCACACAGAGAAAGCTGGCTGACAAAGTCCAGGGACCAGATTTGCCTGCAAAGAGATGTTGTGCGCATTGTTCAGTCGAAGCAGCAATGCGTTACTTGGCTTCATATTTCCCCACGATGAATGGAAAGAAATCAGTTCATTTCTGTTCCGCAATTGAAAGGCCAGCCCTATGTTGATGGAGGAAGCTGCAGGGTTTGGACCCAGAGGAGGTCTACTAGCTTTGTGTGGAAGACATCGTGCAGTTTTAAGTGTTGAACTTCTAGGTGTTTTATGAATGGCAAACATCACACGAGATAGCAATGTCACTCAGCCTTTGTTATTGCCAGTCACCACATGCAGGGTTTGTTTCAGCTTGGCCTTTGTGTTCTGTGCCCCTAGAGCAGTTGGGTGCTGCCACAGAGAATGGTAAAGGTTGTGGCTTACCGCCAGCTTGCAGTCTATGTTTATTTCCCTCAGCTAATGTTCCGGGCATCGCATTTCCAACTTTTGTGGTTGTGTTAGCTGATCAGGCTCTTGCGCAACGTCCAGTGGCACTCAAATGGTTGTCGAGTCAACACCTCTTCCAGCATCGAAGCAACATTCTCTGGGCCTTAAATTTGGATTGATATGTCTCATAGTTGAGTTTCCATGCTGATTGCTGAAGTGAGTGAAACAGCATTTGCCTTCAGAAACATGTGCCAGCTGTATGCAGGACCAACCCGAAGGCGTTCCAGAGCTCCTGGAAAGCAAGTTGGCAAGCCTGTGCCCACAGAGCAGCGATCGATTAAGGCTGCAGGCTCAGCACTGCATCAGGACAGGAGACCTGAAGGCAGCTGCATCCAAGCTGACTCAAATCCTGAGGACAGACCCTGACGACTGGTACGCCTTCATCCTGTGCATGGACTGCCTCCTGCCATCCACGTGCCCAAAGGGGGTTTCATCCCAGTGGGCAGAGATGTTTGTGGAGTCATGTCAGATGGCCAAACGGCTGGAGGACTCGTGTAGCGCTGACCAAGCAGGCCCAGGCCAGGTGGAAGATGATGACCCCAAGGCTGCTGAGGCGGTTGTTGACTTGGTGGCCTCCCGAGTGGGGGAGGGCATGGGCAGCCAAGAGGGGGCGAACGGGGAGAACGGGGGCACCAGTGGCGATGCGTCCAGCCAGGGGAAGGAGGACAAGGAAGGCATCAGGGAGCGCCACAAGCTTGGGGAAGGAAAGGACACTGGCTTGCTGCGGAGACGGGCGCTGGCTGATCTTGAATTCAGTGCCAGGAAAGTGAAGATGGGCCAACAGGACCATGAACAACTTGCTGATGTGCTCTTGAATGCCTTCAGGTATGGGCTACCCTGTCTTCAGCCACCTCCATGGGCTGTGAACAGAAAAGAACGATGGTAGTATCCTCATGGATGGCTTCCCCCTTGATTTTGGAATTCATCAGGCACTCCCCCAACTCCTGTTGGAGCGTAACATCCGAAAGAGAGCTTGGCGCCTTTGTCAGTTTGCGGTGCTGTAAGTCTTTTTATATGTTAAAATTGCCGCTCAACATCTGTGTGGAGAGAAACACTGGATTTTTGGTCGTATGCCCTGGCCTCTGGGCTTTCCATTGCTGTGTATGTACATCGTATCAGGCTACCAGCACACTCGTCATTGCTCTGTGTTCCATGCCTAGCATTTGCAGTCCATAATGTGCTGACCTGAACGTTTTATATTCCAAAGTATTGTGTCGTGTTAATGATTTTGGATAAAAGAAATTGCACTTTGCCATTGTTGGCCGAAAATGTAGTAAGGTGTGTCAGAAACTGCTTTCCACGAAGCACAAATCTGAACAAATCGCTGTGCATACTACTATCAGGCCATATCGGGTACTTTACCAAAGAGAGCTGGACAGAGTCCAATGGACAGAATAAGGCAAGCATGCAAGAAAGCAAGGATTGATGCAGGCGTACCCCTAATAACAAGGAATATCCTAGTGAAGCACACAGTAAAGGGGAAGCAGAAGAGGGGAATTGCAAAGTGCAGCAGAGTCAGAGTCAGTGTGACTCTGTCAGGCTGTTTGCTTGTGCTGTGCAGGCAGGTGGGTGTGCACAGGAGTTGTGCTGCCGATTTGCAGACCTATGTGCAGATGCTCAACCCCGATTCTGGTGCCAGTCTTGCAACCAAGGTTATGACCACTGTGTCGGATCTTGTACGGGAGGCGAACGCCGAAGGCGATGATTCTGCGTGTGCGTCAAAATTGACACATGCACTGACAGGGCACAAGGTATAGAAATTTTTCATATCCGTTTGAGTTTGTTGTCAGTTGTTACACTTAGTCTTTATTTTTGAAAGGATACCAGTTGAGAAACATGAACTTTTGTTGCTGGTGTACTGAATGTTGCCAGAAGTTTTCGATATTGTCCTCATGCTTCCTACCACTGCAACAAAAACCCATTTGGGGTACACTCCACCCAACTCATGCATCACTGTGATGGTCCAGATGTTCATGGACTTGGGCATGCCGGGTGTGAATACCCCTGAAGCATCGGCATCTTATGCCCGTGATGTGCTTGGGCTGTTCGACGCCTCTATTCCACACCTGTCAGCCCTGGACAACAGGGAGCTGGGCCCTGCAGACGATGCTGTGAGTGTGGCATGTGCCGCCTTGATGGCAGCACAACGCATGCAGCCCACAAAAGACCTGAACGTGTGGAAGGCAAGTGAGTGTCTCATCTGCCCTGTGGATTTTTCGCTGCTCCACAAGTGCAGGCACTTCCTGTTCTTGTCTCCATCGGGGCCAGTTGGGAAGGAACTGTGGCTTACCTGTACTCGTTAGTTTACCTCACGATTTCATGAAAGTACTTGCAATACCGCATGCACGATGGTGATGCTCACCTTGCTGACTGGGTCACGATGTCATGCCCAGTCAAGGCACACTGCAGCAGCCAGCTGGCGGATGCTTAGCTGTGGATGCTTGTTCTCCTCTGGCATTGTGTTGTAGTGTTCACAGTTCTATTGTGCGCCCATTTGTCAGAAACAAAAGACAAGGCAGATGCACTTGTATGTGAAAGCGTTTCCTTGCTGGTGCAAGCTGGGAGGGTCTTCAGCTGCGCTGTTGTTACTGGGCCCATGTAGGCAACGATATTCCAGTGTCTTGATTTTGGAAGTTTTACCAGCTTGGGGCAGATTCACATTGCCTTTTGGTTTGCTTAGGGAGTGTTGAACATCCTTGTAGGTTGCTGAGTCAGCTTATTCAATACAACTCTCAAACAGTGACAGCTCTCTATGTCTGCTCCTTCAAGGCGAGGCCAGGCAATGCAACCTGATGAAGTACAAACAATGCTGGTATTAGTAGCAGTAGCAGCAATAGCAGAACGTGGTGTCATGAAGCCCATTGTTGGCCCCTGTTGCACAGGCTGCTGCAGTTGTGAACGCCGGCGTCTCGCACAGGCCATTCAACCCACGTCTAGTGCTGGACCTGTGTGCTCTGTTTAGCCTGCTTGGGGCCCCACGCCTAGCGGCCAAGCACCTGCAGCGGCTTGAGGTTAAGTACATACAGCTGGACACGCTAGCCAGCCATTTCAGCCTACCAGTGCTTCTCAGCAACTGCTGCCACAAGGAGGCTAGCGAGCTGGTCCTGGAGATGCTGGCGCTGTTCCAGGGACACCAACGGGATGCTGGGGAGACGCTGCTGATGGCCTACCAGAAGGGGACATATACCAAGGCAAGAAAGGGGGTTGTTGGAGCTTGCATGTGCATGGTTTGCATTTGTCACAAAAAACACATGACAAACAACTCCATGTGGACTGCAGCATTGAACTTGTGTTTAGTCGATTACTGGTTATGGTAGTCTGCACACCTGAGGAGGGGACCTGCATGACCTGATGCACATATGTTTTTGTTGATTTTCAGGCATGCAGCACCTAGCGTTGCCTAAGATTATCATTACACTGCCAACAATATTGATACCAATAGAAAATTTTACTGGGCGCCCATGTGACTGCTAAATCTAGGCAGCAGTGTGAACTTTATGTCCAAAACTTTGTTGAAGATCTGGTGCTGCTGATACACTGAGCATCATGATGGTATGAGCACAAGTGGTGCAAGCAAATGATTAATCTTGTGTTAGTTATACTGCCCAGCAGTAGATGAAATGGGGCGTATAAAACTGATAAAATGTGTGGAGCAGTTTGTGCCGCTGCCATTGTTCAAATTCCACTTTTTTGGTGACACCAGTGCACACTGGGTAGTGCTCTTGCTTGTTTCTGTTTGTCGTTTGTTCTGTAACAGAATTACAACAAGAAGTACCTGTTGCACAAGTCTGCAATTCACAAATATATGTCGGAATTAGCTTGACATCTTTGAACTGAATGTAAATCAGCGCCACTTCTGAAAGAACACAAAAGAGGTGCACAAATACAATAACAGATTAACATTTCATTTTGACTCAACAGTATTTTGACTCAATAGCATTATAAAGTAATATTAAAGTGCCAACCAGAAAATCATGAAACTGAAATCAAACTGAAGCTGCCAGCCATCTCGCAGGTCCTGGAGTTCATCGCCTTCAAAGAGAGGCTAGAGCTATCCCACAGCCATTATCTGGCACAGGTGGAGAAGCAGATGCTGGAGCTCAGGGAAGCATGCCTTCGTGACTTGAAGTCTGCTCAGCAGCAGGTGTGTCTCTCGTATTGGAAGTACATGTTGCCAGATTACATGGAGTATCAGCAACAAAGTGTTGTGTTTTCTCTCCTTCCCAATGTATCTTGATATGTTTCCACAACTTTGTGTCTCACACCCTGCATGGTACAAGTATTGTTCATTTGGGCAAAACAGAACATGGTAACAAAGGAGGGATGTGGACTTGTGTAACTGCTACAATAATGCATTGTAGTGCATTGAAGAATGGGAGCAACGAAGGCCATGTTGGGATAATGGCGGGCTGCAGAACAGCCTGAGCATTGCTTGTGCAGGAACACAGCAGGTCAGGTCCAATAACATGCAGGGCAGGAATCCCTGTTCACACCGATGTAAGGGCATGCGAATGTGTGTGTGCTTGCAGTGTGCCTTTTGGCAACATCAGTTAAGACCAGACCCAAGCACCCATGTAGCAAAGACAAAATGAAATGTGCAAATCCACAGTGTGCAGTCCTGAACTGATAACATCAACAATAGCCTGTAACAGGTTCCAAAATGATATTTGCTTATGCGTGATTGTATTCATTCTTGGGCGATCACACTAGGTTCGTGCCAGCTGCATCGCCCTGCCTCTAGCCTCTGCACTGAATGGGAAGATGGACAACCTGAGGTTCAACGAGGACCTTGGGGCCCGTCCCTCCTGGTTTTCACCACCAACTGGGCCTTACCACCTCGGCGTGTGGGATGAGTGGCAGGTTGATGGCCGTCCCACTGAGGAAGAGAGGTGTGTAATGGCTTGCATTGTATCACATAATGAAGTTCGTGAATGTTGAACATGCCAGTATCATGCTTTCGGATCTGGTCAAAGACAGTTTCAACAATGGCTGTCACTGCTGAACAGTGGGGCGATGGCTCTTTCTTGCAATATTTTGGAAGTTTTGGAGCTGTTTTCCTTGCCATCATGTACTCTTTTTGGCTATTTGGCTTTTTGTGCTCTTCCTATTTTGCTTCAGGGACCTCAGCATCATTTCTCAAAATATGCAATAGGAGGATCCTTTGAATTCTTTGTTGAAGAAGGGGTCCACTCCTTGGCGTTTTTTCCATACTGTGCAAGAGACAAGTCCCTGTGGAGAAAGCTGGCCCAAGTACGGAACCTGGCATGCCAGACATATTTCAACTATGATAGCATAGATGCACCGAATGACAAGCATCTTCCAATGTCTTTAAAGGGGATGGAGAGTAAATGTTGTCACTGTCCATTCATTGTTCGAATCCCATCTGCGGCTAAATGCTCATAGTTTACATGCTGTGGATAATTACAAATGTTCTGTGATGGATATCAGCGACCAGTCTCACTTACTCAAATGTTGATGCCACTCACTACAAAGTTGGTCTTGTCAGGGATTGACTATTGGCCTTTTCCATCCCATGCCAATACTAAGAGAAATTACCATAAGTCTTGATGGTTTTGAACTGAATGATAAGTAGCCCCATCTGAACAATCTTGGCCTATCTGGTGCTGCCATTCAGCCATCCCTAAAGGCTGGCCGAAAGATGGCTCCTGTTTGCACTGGAGCATGAGTGTTGTGTCTGGGATGCATCTGAGTGCACAGAATCTGCAAGAAAGTTAGGCATGGACTTTTTTGTTGAAAACGGCAATGCTGTGCACCTGCAAGGCGAAGACAGACAGTTTGTACTTCTGCAACGTGCTGCTCGCCAGTTCTTTGGATGGCCACACACAGGTTGTCAGCACGGAAAGCTGGTATTGGTTGCAAAGGGACGTTATCAGAGGCCTGATTTCCTTCTGTTGCAGAACACTGCGTCGCATGTGCCCCTGGGTGGCCGCTACCCATACGAGACATGTCCTATTGTTGTTGGCCAGATGCACTGAAGTTCCTCACCAAACACCAGTCTTTGTCTCTGTCCCATGTTTCTCTGTTGCTGCAGCAACGAAGCTGGCTGTCATCCCCATGGGGTTGGCATTGTCCACCTGAAACCAATGAGTCAGGTGGCAAAAGGAAAATAAAGAGAAGCTCCTACTGTTGTGCTCAAGAGAGGTGGTGCTACAGGACTTATGCAACCTGGTGGACCAAACCCGAGTCGACCAGTGGAAAGGAAGCCGGTGACTGGCAAGAGATGCAGCATAGGTGCCTCAGGCGGCGATGGCTCCTGCCACATGCATTGTCTGGCCTTCTGATGTGCAATGATGGCATGGGCTGGATTCAGGTGGGTGGGATTTGGTGTCAGCAAGCATAGTAGAAGACTTGAAGCTGTCTGCTGAAAACTCGGAACACTTCCTCTGACAATGCAGTTGTAGATTTGGGGCTGAGGAGAACATGGTGCGAGCTTCATTATTGCTTTGCGTGAACAAATTCAGCATCAGGTAACCATGGCACGCCCTGCTCCTTTGCACTAAATATCAAACCACTTCACCAATATCTTGGTGCCAGTATGCTTGACGGTGGCAGTGTTGGTGGTTTCGTGCAGGCAGCAGTCATTTCACCACCCGGGGTGATGCTATGCAGCTCAATGCAGTGCAGCAGGGCTGATCCAGCCAAGGCCCATTTGTTCAAACTGTGCGTATTGTGTTCGCTGACAGACTGGCCAAGGCATATGTTGTTTTTAACATCTGCAATTCAGCTCTTCTGGGTCTTGTGTGCACCATTAAGAACCGCTCATCGATTATGTGCAACGCCATCTTGCAGTCGAATCCTGTGTTCTCTCTTGAGTCCTGCCTTTTGGTTGGTCTTGCCATCAGCAGCATCACGTCTCAATACGCAGCAAAAAACCTGCAGAATGCCCTAGGTTCTGTGTGTTCAATCGCCAATGACAATTGTGTTGCTCCCAGGGGCTTGAGGCCATCGCCTCGGACATGGAAACGAGCTTGGAAGACTCACTCGAATTCCTTGAGGCACAATTGCAAGCACACAAGACTGATGACAATGCCCAGGGAAAATCACTTCGGATATATCATGGCTTGACGTTGGCACTTGTTTCTCTTGCTGTGCCCATGCAGGTGAGAGTTGGAACCGAGTTGGGCGAGCATCTGAGAACACCTTCACCAGTTTTCCTCTTCGATGCCCTGGCAAGCCACGACCCACACGAGCTTTTGCTACCCCAAGCAGCTGCTCTGTCTGCGTGTTGAATGAGCCGCAGGCGGCACAAGCATAGCACTGTCTGACTTTCCTCCTCCCCGGCGAAAATCGCAATGAATGGAGTGCGAATTATGATGTCCATCTGGAAGATAGCACATCGATATTGCAAGGCTGCTAACATCAAATTTGCCTTTCTTGCCGACAAGGAACTCATCTGTGGCCAGGATGGGGCTTCTGCAGAGGCTGACGGCCCAGTCCAGCAGGTGGTTAGGGGCGTGGAGCTGGTGCGGGCGTACTTTGAGAAGGCCATAGCTCTGGAGGTGGCCAGCCTAAAGGAGGGTTTTGGTGTCAGGCGGTGTGGAGGGATTGTGGGGGCGCTGCTCCACGAGGAAGCGGCGTGGCTGGCGTTAGCGATGCAGGTGCGCTGCTGGGACTCACTGCGTCTCCAATACTGCAGCTGTTGAAGCATTGTCTGCCATGCAGCACATTTGTACAGCGGTCCAGTGACGGTGGCGAGCCCAGATTTGCCGGGAGTGTGATGCGCGACGGGGCGCAGCATGCATGAAAGCTTTTTGGAAATTCTGGAAAACTTCTGGAACTGCCTGTGACACGGAATGCACATTCGCGCAGTTTCCTGAAGGTCCTCAGGATTTCGTGAAAGACATTCATGCGTCGGAATCGATGACCACCTTGGCATGTGTATCCGCTGGAATTGTGACCTCCCGGACTGAGTGGTGCTCCACGTCTGCTACGTGAAGCTGCTTTGATATTGCTAGCGTGAATGCAACAAGTCACCGCGTCTCTGAAATACTGCAACTGCACGAAGTTCCTGCGACAGTTGTAGCACCCTGCTGCATATCTCTGTTTAATGATGCCACTGTCTGCGCTGTTGAGTTGCTGGGGAGGTGGTAGAAAAAAGGAGGGGATTGTCGACGCTGCTGTCCTGTGAACGGATGTTCTAGTCATGTGTGAAGGCACACTCTGCTGAGCGCATATGATGCGCATTCCTGGGCACGCAGGCTGCTTCTCGAGCTCAGTATACTTAAATTTGCAGCTTGCTGCTTTTGAGCTGTATTCTTTCGGTGGCGCCATGCTTGGATGGTGCCTCTATTTCCCTTTCAGCCGTCTCAAGCTATTTTCGCCTTGCCCTATCATGGCTTTGTCGCCCTGGCAATGCCATGCGGGGATCATTTCTAACCATAGCCGGTTTGACAATGCAAAATAATGAAAAAGAAAAAATCACGGACGCACTTGTGTGACCTGGGAATGTAGGAAGCTGTTGGCTACCCCCTTCCCTTGTATTTACAATTTCACGATGATGATGAAAAAGACTGCACTAGGGGAAACGTCAATGGCTGCATAGTGGAACCACTGTGCCAAATGGAAGGTACCAGAGTGGCCCTGCTCAATGAAATGATGCAGATTGCCCACGGCACAACCCAATACGTATGGGTGTAATGAGATGTCTTGTTTTTGGACATACTGTCAAGGCATAAGGACAGCGTTCTGTTGCGCGCGGAAGAACTACAACCAGGTCGATAGTCAGCAGTCATCGTCATTGTCAGGTTAACCGGACGCTCCTGGGCGCTCACACGCGGTCGCTCCCAGGCACGGGAAACGAGGCCGCAACCAGATGCATCACAGGACGAGTGCATCGGCTAAGTAACAATCACTGCAATAATGTTCACTGCCCCGTCTCCATTGTCCCCATGTGCATTCACAATAACACCATGCTCACCATATTTACTTTCCACCATGAAAATGTACCATATATCACATATCATATATCAACTGCTCCCTCGCCCTCACAGTCATCATCATGCGTCTTTGCACAACAAAGCAAGGAGGTAGTCGGTAGTCAGATAACAATCACGAAGTACCAATTAGTGCGGACTTAATGCGCCTTGGGGATGTCTCATCCTTTGCCCCGTGTCACCAGCGCCAGCTGTGTGTCCCCAGGGCTGGTCTCGCAAAATTTTGTCCTTCCGAAAGAAGAAAGGATCCAAGGGTGGTGACAAGGACGCCGTCCTCCCGTGGGAGACCCCGCTGAAGGCGGCCCTCAAGAGCCTGCAGGGGAGCTACCTGGAGGCCATGAAGCAGCTGCAGGCCGCCCTGTCTGCGGGGGCCTCCCTGGCCAAAGAGGAAGAGGTGGCCAGATTGGCGGGGCTGCTGCAGGTGGACGGGGACCAGGACTGCTGGGGCTTCTGGCCCACGTGCACTAGCAAGGACGTCCTGAAAATGATGGGCCAGGTGGTGGGGGAGAGGGTGGAGAGGCTGGGCCAGTTGGCCCGCGTCGCAGATGGCAGGATACGGATGGCGAGCTCCGTGAGGATTCCGTGAAGTGTGTGGAGTGGGGTGAACTGTGAATTTTGTGAGCGGTGTGCCGGATGGGAGCGAACCTTGGGCCCGGCGTTGTGGCGCAGTGGGGCGGTGGGTGACATTGCTTCTGGTATTAATTTGCAGGCCGCCCAGAGTATGTACAATTGTCATTGTACATAGAATCTGACGTCCGAAATTGCTCTTGCACTGCAGCTGCCCCCATTCCCAGATGTACTCCTCATCGGACCCACACACACCTGCGCCATTATGTCCCACCGCCGTTTTCTGAGCAATGCGCACCTTGGCCCTTGCCACGTCTCCGTGTTTGTCAATGTCGTACGTTAGCACCGCCACACAATCGATTTTGAAGCAAACCAGATTCACACTCGGCCCATGGTAGGGAGGCGTTCAGAGCTTGGTGCATGTTGTTGTCTCACTGACACTGTGCAGGGAGGCAACCAGTGCTGTGGCTTCGCTCTAAGGGATCCATGCATCGCCCGTGTCATGTTGCCCTCGCCCATCCAGGCCCATCACCAACGTCGAAACTCCCCCCCACCCTTCCCCGGTAGTGACGCAACCAATGCGCATGGGATGTGCAGAGGCGTCAAAGCTTTGAAAAGGGTGAGGAGGTGTGTCGGTGTGTGTTGTGATGGCCTGAGCACACGTGGACAAAGGTGCAATCAAGTTGGCGTCAGTGTTAGCACAGCTGCGTCAGGCTAGAGAGGTGGGGGAAAGCGGTCTTGTTGCGGCTTAGATTGGGACACGCGTCAACAAAAATCAAGAGAGTAGGGCATAACCCGGCAGAGCTAGGGGCCAGTCCATGGGTTCGAGGAGCTATTAAAGGGAATCTGAAGTGAACCGATGCGACAGTCGTTCTCGTGCACCTCTTGCGGAGATGCATCAACGCCATTACGATTTTCCATTCGCTCTATGTCCTTTTGCCGCACGACGCACATCACAATCATCTGGCTACTCCCAGTGGGCAAGAGGGTGACGCAATGGCGCGAGTCACATGTTCAACTGCTGTCGATCCCGTGCACCGGGGCCAACAACAGTGCTTTCCTTATGTTGTCTTGCTTCATGTACGTTCTTAACATTCTGGCTGCGACCCAGTTTATGAATTGCGGGCACACAGTGAGGCAAAAACAACGCAGATGCCTGGGCGCACTGTGTCAGTAGTTTACACTTGTAATCCAAACTGTTTCCACCAGCACATACAACCAAACAATGTCTACCTCCCTATGCGCACGATCTTTCATTCCCTCAACACGCAGTTGACTGCACGGGTGCCTATGCGGGCAATGTCCCACTTTGCCATGGTATTGCATGACCTACGACGCCAGAGACGGAGATGTGAGGCCGCCATATAAACCCTCAAGTCGCTTCAAATCCTGGCCTGTAACAGTGGTCGCATGTGTGTCGCCGTTCGGCCAATGTCGCCAACTCGGAGTGCCGCCAACAACCCAATCCCACCTCCTACCGTGCCCCCAATCCCAAATGCCCTGCCCAGTAGTCGTTCGCTACAATGCCATGTGTGCGGCGACCACACCAGTGCGTGCGCCTGCACGCCATGGCTGACAATCAACGTCGCAACTGGCTGTCAAAATCCCATCCATCATAAATCATATCTCGGTCTGGGAATTCGCAATTGGCAACTGCCGCCCGGCGATGTCAGCATTTCCTCACTGGGCACATTCGTGACCCGCCGTCCGTGTCGTTCGCCGCCTCTGCTGCACGCGTTTCATCACCAGATTCTCACACTGTGGCTTGCGCAGCTTGCATTCGATACTTCCAGACCGATGGCTATGTCTCCGACTGATTCGACCTCCCGACGGCGACTCCAAGGACAGGAATCAGCGCCTCCTGCAACAAACTGGCTCCCGGATGTTTGGGACCCGTGGGGCGTGTTTCAGCCCCACAGCCCGCTGCCCTGCCCGCCTCCTACAAGTCACCTTTGCCGTCAGACTCTCAACAGGCCTGAGGTTGCTGCAACACGCCCCCCTTCAGCATTGAGCACCCCTCAATCTGTCGCCAGGCTGCACGGCCAACATCGCACCTCGTCCCACACATCTGAAATACCGCGGAAACTTTGAAAGCAGACACTTGACAGATTGACGAGCCAGCCCAGGGTGCAGGGACTGCGGGGGAGTTCTCAAACAGGCGTCATCGTCTTCCTTGCCTTCTTGGCATACTGGCTATCCATCATGAGCTTCTGTGCATGGCGCTTCTGGGCGAACTTGCTCTGTGCGAGAACCTGCCAGGGCGCAGCCAACATTCTTGCCGCTGTTCCTTGCAGTGCATGTGCAAGGAATCCCATACATTGTAACAATGTTTTCCCAACACAGCAGCTGGCTCAGTGTGCCTTGGAAACATGCAGCACAGGTTCTGGAGCATCGATTCCAGTGATCCAGCCCAGGGGGAAGCAATCGTGGCACTAGGTAAGGCCATGATCATGGCAGTCTCACCGGGGTGGGAGGATGGTATGCGCTTGCACAGCAACACCACATCTGACATGCCCCAAGTCTGTCTTAGACCCACCTTTTTTGGCACCCCCCCATGCGCATTGATCTGCTCTGTCTGATCCTGCAGGAGCTGCTGTTCGTACTCCTTGCTCTGAGTCAAAGACAGAGCAACATCATGGCTCTTGCATTCCATGCTCAGTGCAGTTGGAGGTTGCACACGTTGGCTTTCAGACTGTGCCCAAAATGTGATGGAAGTGCAGCAAGCATGCAATTCTGACGAGGGTGCCACTTACTGTTGAGTTCCATGAATTGAGCACAATTCCTTGTCAGGGGCTGTGACAACACATGGCCAGGGTGCAGGCATTGCATGAAATCCACGGGAGATTGTGCTGGGCCTCTAATTCCCAAACAGGCCCTGTGGTGTGGGACTCTCAGCCACTGTTGTAGTTCAGGACTAGAGTGCAAAGACTTGGAGCTTCGGCATCCAACACTCCAAAGGGCACATCAATGATAGGCACATTCTATGTTGCACTCGGACTTGTTCATATGTTTAAGCCATTTTCAGGGTATCGGTGATCCCCTGCGCAGTGGCCAGTGCCATGCTGAACATTTGCACATTCTATATGCAGGCAATTTCATTGCATGAAAAGAGTCAGCCCCTGCTGGGTGCACACACCACCGCTGACTTCTTGGAACTCAAGCTGAACACCCTCTCTTCAAGCTTTGGAGCACGAGCCTTTCTGCGAACACTGTCCTTGGAAGCCAAGTAGCCTTCAAACCCCTGATGAAATGCACAGAATCTCACAAGAAAGCACATGGCAGTGCCTAAACTGGCTAATCCGACAAGCCTTACACAACAGTGACCAACACAATCGATACCACTGTACAGTGCGGGTGCTGCACAATTCACTCAATTTGTGCCATGGCTTGGGAAAGGAAGACAAACATACATGTTTCCAAGATGGCGTATGCATCATTCTGACTGGGCATCAAATCCTCACTGAACCAGCCCTCAAGTGAGACCACTCTGGCAATAAACTCTGCAGAAAGAACTCATCCCACTACACATTGGTGCCGTGCTCCGGCTTGGTTAAAGATGTCATGCGAAGCACACTGGGATCATGCCAGGCTGTTCTGCTGCTCAGGCAGGGTCATCGAACTGAGATCTCCAATCTGAACGCGGCAACGTCGCAAAGATCGTGGCAAGCGTCCCGCCTATCACCTTGAGCACATTCCCCAGCTGGCTGGATTCACATGTCAGGTATGCTAACTCTGCTTCGGCAATCTCCAACAACACACCAAGTTAGCTCCAGTCGCACAGCCCTCTCTTCGCGCAGATATCCATTTTAAACCCCAAGGGCATGCACAGGACTGTGTTGGCTCTGGCGACAGGGGATATTGTGCCATCACTGGATACCTGTTAATCCACAAGCACGTACAAAGGCAGTGCTTCGAAATTCAACCAAACGAACAGATTCATTATTTCGATGTCAATATCGGATGCAAGGCGTTCCACAGCGCTCTGTCCCGTCATTGCCGCTGATGAGAATTACTACAATTCAACGGTGTGCGAAGCCATGAAGCCATTACGACACATTCCGTGGCGGAGAGACACCACGGATGCTGCATCCAGCGATATTGCTGCGACGCATGACCGGCCCTCCGCGCACAACTCGGACGGGACTCGCCCGTCCGTCGAGCGACCACGCGACATCCGAGGCCACGCAAAGCAATCGCGCCACGTCGGGCACCTCTCCGGCACCGGAGAGCTCCCATCAACGTCGCCGGGCCCGTCCCAAGCACCCACAGGATCGCATCGATCGGCACCAGCAACAACGGCCAGGAGGACCGGCTACGAGAGTCCCGGTCACCTTCGCCTCGAGGTCCTCTAGCTCCCTCGCGTTCTTGTCGCGCAGTTCCCGCAGCTGCTCGGCCGGCGACGACGACATGGCCGCCACGCCGCCGGCAGGCGGGAGGCTGTTCGGGACGGCGGAGCGGGAGGCGAGGCGGGAGCGAGGGCCCCTGCGCGCGGGCGTGCGCACAAGCCGCGGCCTCGCGGGTGCAGGTGGACGATGGGCGGGAAAGGGTAAGGGGGGCACAATGTAGCAAAAACTGACGTGGCAGTGACATTGGCTGCCCGATTTAGGTTTGGGGTTAGGTTTTAGGGTAACCCTACACCCCTGAAACCTAAAAAACTAAAACCCCTAAAACCTAAAACCTGACTCTAAAACCTAACCTACAAACCGGGCATCCACGTCGCTGCCACGTCCGTTTCAGGGACATTTTTAAGGGGGGGGATGGGATCGGCGTGGTGGTGTGGGCAGCGCCTTGTTGGCTCCGATACGGGTACGATATTCTGGCCGGGTCATCATTACCCAAATGCTCACTGGCCCAATCTGCCTGACGTGGCTTTTGTTGGAGATTGTTTGCAATTGTGCTTTCAAACGCACAATTTTAATTTTCCTCGTGTTCTGATGTGTGAAAATGAGGCTCTTGTGGACCTGTGCCATTCTGTTGGAGTCGCCTGTCAATTGGATGCCAACTGAGAAGACAATGTTGTGCTCTGACTTGATTTGAGCTATCCTTATGAATGGTGACGTGCAGGTATTATTCTAGTGAGGCAGGTGCCACCCGTCATGAGGACAAGCCGTCATTGAAAGGGTGCATGGCACGACTTTCGGGAACTTTTGTCCGGAGAGGTTAGAGGCATGTCAAGACTGTGGGAATGACAAAGCGGCCTTGGTTCAATGCCCTTGGAGAAGTGAGGTGGAACTTTCATGACGTGGTTGTACCCAGGCTTGACTGTAGGGTGTTGATGGCTTCCCTGCCGTGCCACGCCCGGATCCTCCGACACGTGTTGCAGAGACCATTCTGGCGCTGCACTTTCCCTGGCTGTTGATCTCTATGTTATGTCCACATACGAAAATGCCGCATTCATGCAAGGGCCAGATGCCATCACGATGCTCTTTTGGTAAATCAGGTGATGTCCAATTCGGTGTGGTAAACTTGAGTGACAAAGCGTTGCATATTTGCCAGTTCCATAAGAACTCATATTTTCGAAATTGTACGGTGAGATGCACACACGATTGCTACAGTTCCAAGTTGGCTCTGTCCACACAGATAGAACGAACAGATCAAGGCAGTGGATGTTGCTGTTCCTTGTAAAGCAACACAGTACAAAGACGTCATTGATGTCGCCATTTGTGGCGCTCTGCGTCTCAATGCACGTGAATTGAGTTGCATGAAATTTGTTGCCAGCAGCCGTCCTCGCGTGCTTTCAACCCGCTGATGTGAGTTCCAACAACCTGGACATGCACAAATCATAACAGCAGTACTGACATCCACTGCCGCATCTCATCTGCATATGTAAACAGTTTCAAGCCATCTGTACGTTGTGTAGCTGTACGGGCAATTTCAATTAGCACGTGCACTGCAGCTGCAGCATACGTGCCATTGGACCTGCCAAACTTGAGCATAACGTGCAGTCTGCTGACAACCAGCACTGCCTGTTTACACAACTGCAAAACACCCTGCCTCCAGCAAGATACCCTGAAACGAGAAGGTGAGCTCCTTTGGCCAGACATTCCAGCAGCACTTTAAACAAGGATGGCGGCACCTCAGCAAGGGCAGCCCTTGTGTCGCTCAACAACATCGCTGAACGAGACTCTGCAAAGAGAAAATGGAGAGGCCTCGCACGTCCCTCTTGCCAAATGGGGGGGTGGGGTGGGGAGACCCTCTTCGATTTCCATCATGTGTGTCAGGCAAGGCCGTCAAGACAGATTTGGCACCGCATGGTGCTCTCAGATTCCAAGAAGAGCACCAGGTCACGATCTGTCAGAAATGCGGACGCAGTCCCCACCCTGGCCTTCCTGATGTACAGCCTCATGTGGCTCGTGTCAGCAAATCACAGAAATGGCATCGAAATTTAGCCAACAGGTATCAACCCAAGGTTATAAATTCACTTTGCTCGTCCACCAAACCCGTCAAGACAAAAAAGCACCCGTTCGTTGAGCTGAGCCACCAAATTGTCATTTCCTTTGCATGTCCACTATCCAAGGTGCCGTCCATTAACAGCAAGATATCTTTGGCCAGAATGTAGCCACTGTAATGAGCTTTCATGTTGCACAAGTTGCCATTCCGTCCGCCCAAACCTGGCCCATCTCTGGTTCAAAGGCCCACAATCGACTTGCAAAGCAGCCGCAAAAGTTGGCCAAAAAACTTTTCTCAAGCATGCAATGCGAGATGGGAACAATAATACAACAACTGATGAGAGAATTCCAACAATTCACAACAATGGGCCAAACCAACAAATGAGATAATTGTGAAGGGATCAAAAACGGACAACATGCCTTGCAAATACTTCACGGACACCCTTCTAACAGTGCATTGTCACACTTCATTTGGGTATCTGGGATCCAAACCCAGAATTGCCACTGGCACCACTGACAAGTGTCCCCAAGGAGCTTCCAGCACCTCGTGTCAGCACACGGGGCATTTTCCGACCAGATCCTGGAGTGTTGTCGGTGATGTCAGCAACATCAGGCGGTGGCGCCAGGGATGGCACTGCTGAGGCTTGTCCACCCTTCCTAACGGTTCCTTGCGATGGTGGGCCCAGGTCGCGAAGGCTCTCAAGGCCCTGCTTGCAAGCAGCCATAAGTAGCACTCTTCAAGCCATGCCAAGGAGCTAAATTGACAGCTCTCTAGAACAAAGCCTGCCCCGCACCACTCATTTGCACACTCAATATCTCACGCAGATCACAGCAAGTGCAGCCATGGCGATGCACATT